CTAGGGACGAATGCACATCAAAATGTCCAGGTATATCCGGGGCACCTATCTGAACATATCCTGTGAGTTTTGTGATGATCGGCTCTACGGTTGCTGATTTGTGGTCATTTATGTCCAGAGCCACGCCCCTTACAAAGTTCATTGGTCCATATCTTGAAAAGTAATTGAGATATCGACATGCTTTATACAACTTTTAATAGGCTTGATCCAATGATTCACTGAAAATTTGGTGGCAATCAGAGATGTCAAAAATGTGATTTTCCAAAAATTCAAAATGGCGTAAAAACTTTATAGGCGGACCTTAATAGTACTTGAGGCTTTTTTGTAGAGCACATTGAGCTGCACCTGTGTGAGAAATTTCAAGTCAATTGGACTGAGGTGTAAGGGGCGTGGCCTTTCAAAGTTTGCATATTAAAGCCTTATTTACAGCGGCACCATGTGGCCGATTGGGTTCATATTTCTATGGAAGCTGATGCACACCATTTCCAGTTATTCCCCCAAGTTTCATGTTTCTAGCTTATTCCAGCTCACGGGAATTTGAGCCGGTGCGGCAGACAACAAATAATAATAATAATAATAATAATAACTAAAACACACAAACATAGAAGGGTTCTACCGCTACGCGGTATGAACCCTAATTATCACCTGTTCTGCTGTTTTACTTGATTATTGCTTCAGTGAAAATAAGCTCTGATTATGCCACCGTACACGAGCTGCTCAGCAGCAGACAGCAGACCGACACGGTTAGAGACTAGCTGGTCAACACAGTGGAGCAGTTAGCAGCTAACGAGCCAGAAACTTCCCTGAGGAGCTGGTGGAGCCAAAAACAGAGCTGCAAGAGAGTGAATGTTGGACTTTAATTCATCATGTGGGCACAAACACGCGTTTGTAACATGTTCAACTGATAAGGTGATAATATGTCAGTGTTGTGTTTACAGCTTGTACTGCAGGTCCAAAGTGGCCAAAAACTATTTATATAACTAAGACAAGTTTAAATTTGTCATTAGGTTGTTGCCAAGCGCTTTTCTACTTAGATATTCAGCAGACACGGAGCAGCATTATCATTCACTTGGAGCTGTGATTCCACCACCTCAACTTTTAGAGACTTTTGGCTCATGATTTTGCTAGTTGCTAAGCTACGCTAACCAGCTTTGTCTGTCTGCCGATATGTACTGATGTTTCATCAAAATCTGTTGTAATATTTTATTTTCTCTTTTCTCTAAGCATATTTGGCAGTGCCACTGGCAAAATATCTTCATGGACTATCAGAAGGAAGACTCAAAACGCTCTGCAGCCTTATTTATAACGATATACACAAAACAGGGCTTGAAAGAGGAGTACACCACTGCCCTAAAAACACACCTCCTGTGCACACCTGTAAGGAAATTCTGAGTCAGGCGAACAAACATTTTGGAGAAAGTGAAAAACGGTTACAGATGGTGAACTGAACCCAGATTTTATTCTGACCCCTGTCACACATTTGCAGTCTCTTCACTTCATATCAAACTAAGTATATAACCACTTTATCACAAATATTCAGGCCAGTGATGCCGATGTATTTGTGCTAGTAGTAAGCCACTAACTATTCTATAAGAACCTCTCCATTTTTAAAAGACAGAGCCAACCCAAATCTTCACCATTTATGTGTGTTAATATTATGCATCCAGTCACATTACTCAGAAGTATGTTATGCATATGTGACTCATGGGGACCAGTGGGGAGGCCAGTGAGTGCCCCCCATCCCATAAGTGCATATGCTTACTATATACAAAAGTATTTGTTTTTGTTGTTCACTAAAGACATTTGGCTTTAAGATTAAAAGATGACAAGAGTTCAGAATTTCAGCTCTCATTTCCTGGTATTCACATCTAGATGTGTTAAACAACTCAGGACATACCACCCTTTGTTTAAACCCACTCATTTTTCAAGTGAGCAAAACTATTGGAACATGTGACTGCCAGATGTTTGTTGTTGCCCAGGTTTTGCCTTTTAGGTTGATTGTCCAAACATTAAATAGCTCTGCATGACTAGTCTAAGTTTCATCCTTGGTTCAAACCTATAAAGACTGCATAAACATGAAGACCAGAGAGCTGTCTATGGGAGAAAAGCAAGACATTGTCAAGCTGAGAATCTGAGAAAATTGAACAGAGCCATTGGACAAACATTGAGCATAGAAAGCACAACAATTTGGAATGTCCTGAAAAAGAAAGAAACTACTGGTGTACTGAGCAACAGACGTCCAACAGGTCGGCCAAGGGAAACAACAGTAGTTGATGACAGAAATATGGTGAGAGCTGTGAAGAAAACCCCCAAAACATCATTAAATGACATCAGCAACAACCTCCACAGTGCAGGGTGAAGGTATCACAATCCACTGTTGGAAGAAGACTCAGAGAGCAGAAATATAGAGGCCACACCACAAGATGCAAACCACTCATCAAGAATCGGAAGGCCAGGTTGAAAAATGAGCCACAAAACTTGTGGAACACAATCTTATGGACTGATGAGACCAAGATTAATCTCTAGCAAAGTGATGGAAAGGGCAAAGTGTGGAGAAAGAAAGGAACTGCTTATGATCCGAAGCATACAAGCTCATCTGTGAAGCATGGTGGAGGTCATGTCATGTAATGCTCCTGATGACATTTGCAAGAATCCACCTCTCCCTGAACAAAGCAATCAATCAGAGCCAGGAGCAGTCTCTAACGCAGTGTCAGTCACCGCTTGTGCACACCCTGCCCAGACCCCCTCCTCGAGCATGCTCTCAGTCAAGCTCAATATCTTAAGATGTTTTACAATGTCTGAAAAACAACAGAATGAATCAGAAAAAAAGAACTGCCCATTCCTCCTTCGCCAACAACATCGTGTAGTACAGAACAGCTTCGGCCTCATCATGTTTGATGCCATGACGCTCGTATCGTATCGTGAGTGGCAAAGAGGCATGATGACAAACAGTGGGGAATAACTTTTGATGGGGGGCAGTGGTGTACTAGCCTCTCATCCTGCTGTTGGACGTCCAATGGCGGTTCTAGACCAGTCTTATTGAGGGGGCCAGGCTGGGGCCAGTTGTTTTGTCAGAGAGGCCCATTCAATCCAGGACAGAAGAGACAAAGGCAATGTTCAAGCTTTCAAAGTGTCTTGTTTAGTGTATAATGTAATGGGTTAGTCTGTTCCAGTAACTTACACTTATTTGTTTCAGTAACAGGATCTTTTCAGTAACTTAGTTTTACTGAATTACATTATACAAAAACAACCTTCCTGTTAACTTTAGCTCAAGTGACAGTACATTCTTTGATGCAACATGTCTTTGTAAGGTTTATGAACAGAATCAGCTCTAGACATTAGCCATACCTAGCCCCAAACACTCTCTGGATACCAGTTTGTATTTTGTATCCCACCATAACTTTTGCTAGGAAACAACAAACGTCTCCATATTCACCGCTGTTATTAGTCCTGACATGAAATACCTAAAACAAAATACTTGGCCATCATCTGTGCATTATGGACGGGGACACTGGCAGACTGCATGTCCAGCCTGGTAGGACCAGTAGGCTACTGTTATCGCTTTTTGTGTATGAAAAGTGCTTTATTAAATTGTTATGATAATAATTATACCTTTAAGGAGGGGGACTCAATTTCCAGCAAGATCCAAAGGCTATCCATGCAGTGGAAACATGGTGTACAAGGACAAAATATTGTCTACAATGCTGCATTCAAGTTCAATAATACATAACGGTAGCCTATAGAATCTTCTTATAATCCGTGTGCTAGCTTGCTTCATGAACCCACAGCTAATCAAATCAACAGATTATTCCCTGACTTCATTTGGGAAATAAAAGTCACACACTTAAAAAGGCTTTCTAACAGTAGGACTGACTGAAGTTTTACATTTTACTGATAATGCAACACTTTTAAAATTAATTGGCTGAAAACATGCCTCCCAGGTTCTTTGTGATTCTTCATCCCCAACCATGTTTTTGATAAAACTGGAGGTCTCTCCTTTGTTTAAACATGTAATTATTCACCTACCAAACTTCCTTCCTTATATATGTTTCATCAGCAATCTCTTTTTGCCGGGAGGTTATGCTTCATTCACAATTTTTCTTTCTTATGGAATAATGATAATATAACTATCATACTGTTTTTAATCCCAAATGATTCCAAAGAAATATGATCAACCTTTTCTACTAATCCACAACTTTCCAAATCATTTTAAAGAATACAACTCAATCATTCAAAGCCATTCCTTCTGGATGAATCCGTCTTACTAAGAATCACTTATCATTTTTCACAACACCTCAGATGTTCCATCTGTGTAGCTTTTGAATGGTATCAATATATATGGCAAGACATGTAACAATAAACATATACGTCATATTTTTAAAGTAAAAACTCAATGTTATTGGAGCTCACATGTGGATGAAATAAAGTGGAAAACGCATGGCTCTGAACTCAACAATGTGGTATTCCTAACCAAGTCAACATTTTCGATCAAATCTTTCCAGTGAATTCTGCACTCTCCATATGTAGATGATGATAATTCTTGTTTTATAAATCTTTTTCCACGTGCACCATTTTTTTATTTTCAGTGCACGTGCATTTTTGGAACAGATCCTTTGCACAGTTTTCTAAATGAGGCCCCTGGTTTTTTAAAAGATTGTGCTCAAGGACACCCAGCTTCACAGTGTGAAGCCTCCTGCAGAGAGGAGGAGAGCAAAGTGATTTTTGTTCAGTTTGTCATCTGTGTAAGCTGCGAACACGTCAGTGTTTTCATAATGAAGGTGTCATCCATCTAGACTTTGTGTCCTAATGTGACTATGGCTGAAAATTAAGTGTCGGGTTCAGACCAACGGCACCATGAAAAAGTAAAATTACTGCAGCGGGATACCATAGTGAAACATGAAGGATTAGTGAGAATAAGTGCTTCTGTGTATGGTTGAATGAGTGAGAGACCTCCAGGTTAGACCCTGAGCCAGGATAGAGCAGTGATTCAGGCCACAAACCTCCAGTGCCACAGAGAGGGGATCAGCCTTGGAGCGACGGTCTCCCATGTAGGTCTGGATGAGTTTAAAGATGTCCACTGCTTCCCTCTTCACGGAGCGGTCTGAGGTCACAATCATGGGCTTCTTGATGGGCTCACTACTCCAGGCCAGCATGTTGGCAATGGAAACCTTTCTTCTAAACAGACCCTGAGAAAAAATGCCAGGGATGGAGAGAAACACGAGAGTAACAGAGAAGGTTAGAGGAGTGGCAGAGAGATAGGGAAAGATGCTGGCTGCCATTTTATCTCCCACCCAGCACAAGTTGGATTTTCCCATGCTAATAAATGAAATCCAAAAAAAATAAAAAATAGCAAAGGGTTATGTAATATCAGCAAAAAGGAAAGCCAAAAAACAAATGAACCTAAAGTCTGTTTCAGTGGAATGACATGACTTTAAATGTACAGAAGAGAAGAGTAGCAGATAGACAGACCACATCTGTCTATCTGCTACTGAAAGTCTGTTATTAGCTTTATTGCACCTTTTCTTTTCCAGAATAACCAGGGGTCTTATTTATAAACGGTGCGTACATACAAAACAGGGCTGGAAACGTGCGTACACCACTTCCCAAGCAAAGTTTGTGATCTATAAAAACCAAACTTGACAGGAGAATGTACGTTCTGTAAGTAAACTCTGAACCGTGTGTACGCACATAAAGAGGAGAGATGAGAAACGGCGACTCACATTGCGGAAGGATGAAACTGTTTGAAATGAATAGACCTACTTCTGTGTAAAATATATCGAAATATTAGGCCTACCTCTGAGAATTGTAGGCTTAAAGCCTTTCTGAATAAACAAACACCCCTTTGATTGACTTTCCCTGAAGTGCAAAAAATCACATACAATTAAAGATCATTTGCAGCGCACAAAAAGAACCAGATTTAGGATAATAAACACAAACGGAGATTCTGTTTCTACAAAAGAATACCTCAAATATTTTGTACAGTTTAAATCATATTAATTAATACTTACATGCAGTGCAATTTATTCTCATAAGGAGGACAAATTACATTTAAATTGATGCCGTTTTCAGTGCATAGTTTCATGCATTGTTATTATCACGTTTGCTGCCTTATCGAACCAAACGATGTGCGCCAGCATGTGGATGTGATGCACTGCTTGTAGAAACAGGTTATGGAAATATAACACTATTTTATTGTCATTTACAACAAACCAAACAACATGCTTCAGCTTCACCAAAAGGAACGTCAGTGTCACACTGAGTTAGATTTTACACTTTTAGTGAGGTTTCTACGCACAGTTTTATAAATAAGACCCCAGGGCCTTTTGAAAAGGCACATTTCAATGGAATAGAAAGCGTATGTGGAGAATTTAAGTTAATCAAGAAAATGTTACAAAACATATTGGTCAGAATTCTGAATGTAAAAAATAATGACAGTTCATTACAGAACAGTAATACATATACTTAGTGAACTCTGACAGTGAGTATGGACTTATGGACATTTATGTGAAGAACCACAGCTGTAAAAAATCCCACCATGTCACTAACCCCACTGACTTCACATGGGTCATGGGTCAGTACCTTTAACATCAATATTTAAAGAGTAAATGGGCAAATCATTTGATAAGCACTAGTGAAGTCGTTATAACCTCAGAGGACACAACTATGTCTATTGAAAGGGTGGGGGGTTGTCAGAGGGGGACCCGGGCCTTGTTAATGAGGCTAGCTGCAGACGGGAAGAATCTGATTTGTGGAAAGAGGTTTTGGTCCTGATGGACCACAGCCTCCTGCCAGAGGGGAGAGTAATAGTTTGTGTCCAGGATGGGAGGAGTCAGCTGTAATCTTTCCTGCACGCCTCAGAGTCCTGGCGGCGTACAGGTCCTGAAGAGAAGGAAGATTGCAGCCAATCACCTTCTCTGTGGAGCGAATGATACGCTGCAGCCTGCCCTTGTCCCTGGCAGTGGCAGCAGCGTACCAGATGGTGATGGAGGAGGTGAGGATGGACTCAATGATGGCGGTGTAGAAGTGCACCATCATTGACTTTGGCAGGCTGAACTTCTTCAGCTGCTGCAGGAAGTACATCCTCTGCTGGGCCTTCTAGATGATGGAGGTGATGTTCAGCTCCCACTTGAGGTCCTGGGAGATGATGGTGCCCAGGAAGCAGAAGGAGTCCACAGTGGTGGCTGGGGGAGTCACACAGGATGATGGAGGAGGGTGGGGCTGGGCTCTTTCCACTGTCTCTTAAGCTCCAGACTGTTCTGGCTGCACCAGGTCACCAGATGGTCGATCTCCCACCTGTAGGCGGACTCAACCCCACCTGAGATGAGCCCAGTGAGGGTGGTGTCATCCGCAAACTTCAGGAGCTTGACAGACTGGTGACTGGAGGTACAGCTGTTGGTGTACAGGGAGGGGAGCAGAGGGGAAACGCAGCCTTGAGGGGAACCAGTGCTGATGGTCCTGGAGTCAGAGAGATGGTTTCCCAGCTTCACGTGCTGCTTCCTGTCCGTCAGGCAGTCTGTGATCCACCTGCAGGTGGAGTCAGGCGCGCTCAGCTGGGACAGCTTGTCCTGCAGCAGGGCCGGGATGATGGTGTTGAAAGCAGAGCTGAAATCCAGAATGACTTCAGCTGCTGGAGGATGTAGTGAAGGGCCATGTTTACTGCATCATCTACAGACCTGTTGGCTCTGTAGGTGAACTGCAGGGGGTCCAGGAGTGGGTCTGTGATGGATTTTAGGTGGGACAACACAAGGCGTTCAAAGGACTTCATAACCACAGAGGTCAGGGCGACGGGTCTGTAGTCATTTAGTCCTGTGGTCCTTGGTTTTTTGGGGACAGGGATGATGGTGGAGTCCGTAAATAGCATAATCTAATAAAATTAGTGTTGTCTTATGTGTATGGGTTCACTTGCACAGACTTCACTTAGCCTATTACGTGAGAAGTCATGGACACCTTGGATATTTCCCAAGCAGGGAGCAGATAAAGCAACTGTGAACACACAAGTGCAGATGTTAGGTTACAATCACTAGGCCGGTCTGTCAGCCATCGCCGATGAACGATGGCACCTTCTATTGGCCCACCCTAGCGACCACCGCTATCATAAACACACTGGAGTCCTGTGCTGGATTTCATGCTCCTTATTAACGTTTCCAGAACAAACTATGACCTGGCTGTAGTATATTTATTGCAGTCCTGTAAAAATGCTGCATTTTTGAGGGCTGTGGGGAGTTTTGTTAAGTTAGTTGGGATAAAAAATGTGGTTCATAGGTTCACTTCAATCAAAGGATCAGGTCAACTTGTGTATTTAAACAAAACATTCTCAACACAAGGTCACAAGATGTGGTTGAAAGCTTTAGAAATGTTGGACCATCTGTTGCTAATTTTTTGTCAAGCTGCTGTTTCTAAGGTCAAGAATAAGCCTGCAAGCTCAACTCATGTTTTCTTTTTGAGTAGCAAAACCTCATTAGCGATCAGCTGATCACTTTTACCTTATGTAAGACATTAACATTTTAATCTGACAACAGACTGGTCTCATGTCTGCCATTATGTGTGGACATAGACAAATATGTTGAAGTGGTCAGATAAAGGTGACATAACCATGTCTTTCACTGAACTTACACACGAGAATACACTATTTAAAAACATTCCAAAACATTTTGGAGACAATTTTATAAATAATAAAGACAGAAATACAAACCAAAGCTATGGTGTTGGAGTCACTAATGGAAAAGGGGACAGGTACATTGTGATGTCATGCAAATATCGGATGCAGATCCACACATCCTCTGGAGTACCTGTGTGTGTTTGTTGAAGTGTTTGGATGCCCAGTTCTCAATGTCGGTCTCTGAAGAGGGCTTTCTCAGGGTGAACTCTGGGAAAATTCCACAGCTGGCGCTCGGCATCATATTCCTGGCATTTCGACTGGCCTCAAACTGGGCACAGGCTCCGAGGTCCTCCGACTGACAGGTGAAGAAGCAGAGAGAGGAGGAAACAGACAATATCAGTCATCTCTGTACATCTGCAGAGCATTTAGAGTGTCTGGAGAGCTGAGCATTTCTTCAGCACACGGAAGGAGCTGACTAGGATTAATACTGACGTGTTAATACGTCAATATCCACAAGGTTATTTCACTGCAACAAAGGGTCCATTTATTCCTCTCTGAAATAACAATCCAAAGCAACAGCTGTGGATCAAAAAATAACTAATAAAGAAAAGTTATTCTAAGCCATGAACATCATTCTACAGGAGCCTTTTATGCAGCAGCTGTATTAGATTATGTGCAAATGTTGACCTGGTGGCATGTTCATCCATTACACATGTCATGATCAAATTGCCAAGAGTTGTTCAGATGGACCTTGCTCTAGTCTGGACCTAGGTGTTGGTCAGGAGTTTGGACAGATAGACTGACAATGGGTGAATTATCCATTGCCCAGTACTTCTGTGCAGCGGCTCCACAGACTGTATGTAGTGTCTCCTGTAGTGAAGGTTGTCAGATATGGTGAGTGAGTACAGGTTTTCATTTTGGTCTCTGTTCAGGCAACCCTGGCAAACTGTGATGCACACAACCAAGAAACATGAGGTGGATATCCATGTGAACATCTCACTCTCAGAGAGAAAACAAATGAGCAGATTTCCAAACATGTTAAATAAGAAACAAACAGAATGCTGCTCTATTTATGTTCTTGTGCTGCATTCACTTTTTGTCTGACAGCACTGGGATTTCTGTGGAATAAAGGTTCCTTCATCTGTATCCTTAGTCATTCTCTGTTGCTGAATAAAACCCTCTTCTATCTCTGTTCATTTCATCCTCCATTCTCTCTCTCCTCTTCTCCATCTACTTTGGCTACTGCTTTTCTTAAAGATCGACAGATTCCTCCCTTCACACACTCAGCTTTAAGATGAAGCATTGCGTTGCTGAATCTAAAGAAAGAGAAGATTAAAAAATTGGTAGAGAGGACCGACAGCTTCTTTTTGTTTTGGCTGAATGCTTCCCAGCCCTTGTATCTCCTCTGGCCTCTGAGGACTCAGGAACAGACATGTCAGACCAACCTGTGCTTCTGTCTTCATGTCATGTCTGCCACTTTATGGTATACTTTAGGAACTCTAACATTCATCTTTCTGCATAGAAATATAGGTTGGTTGTGAGAATTGATCACATCATTATCTAACTGATTTTATTAGTGGTGTGACTTACAATTTAATACTATAATAAATAATAATAAACTGCATCTTCAGAGTCAACCCCTTCAACTCTTATGAAGACATATTCAAGTGCTCCTTCTGTGAGCTACTCCCATGTTCACTGCTTGAATTGGAATAAGAAAGGTGCCAGCACTATAAGCCAGCAGCATTACATGTATTTGGGGACACAAATTGTCATGCATCAAGTCATGCAACAAGAGCAAAGAACTGTTCTTACAGGTCTCTGTGTTCAGATCTCACTTATTTTGTAGCTTAACTGCATCTGTGTGGTTTGTGATGACTCTTGTTTGTACTTTCAGCTATCAGCCTTATTTTACTGCTTACCAATTTGTTTCCACCCATAGAAGAAAACTGTTAAGTTACTGCTGATGCAAACTGAGCATGTGCTGCTGCTGCTTCACAGGTAGAGCTTTCCACCGTCAAAGCAGCTACAGGAAATGGAATGTATCTGTTACAGTCAGCAGAAATGTGACAAAAGATTGTTCAACGCAAAAACATATGGACGGCTGAGGAGGTCCATTTAATAGCTGTTCTGGACCTTCAATCATACTGTATCATGTGACATGGTTGCTATGGCAACAGCAGCGCATGTAGATTTTGCTTTATTGACATAACATGCCTATGACAGAAATATAGTCATTGGAAAAGAAGGTTTTTGGATTAAAGAGCAGCAGACCTTAGATGATCCACCCATCTCCTAGATGGACAAAATGGGACCTTAAGTTGAACAGTGATCCAAATAAAATGTAACTGCTTGTGCGGCGTCTCTCTACATTCTCCAGAGATTCTCAGTGATGTCAGCTGTATGGGGTGGATCACATTTGTTCATCATTTGTTTCACTAGAGCCCCTTTTCCACTGCACAGTACCAGCTCGACTCGCCTTTGTTTGGTTTTCCACTGTGGAAAAGTTGTACCTGTACATCACTTTCGTTGAGGTTCCAAGCGAGCTGAGGGATACTAAAATGTGACGTGAAAACACAACAGACTGCTGATTGGTCAGAGAGAATATTCACTATTCACTGCATCATCATCGCTGCACCAGACAGAGCCCAGCAACAGAAAGTTTTATATTTTACAGTTTCCGTATGGAATTTCATCACTAAATCCACTTCTGAGAAGTTTTGAGGTGAGAAATCAGCTGTGTAGATTTCGAATATTGACAGTTTTACGAGAAGTGATGGCGGAACAAAAATGTGCTTGAAGGTTTTCGGAGTTGAGGAGCTCCGCGAGTGGCTGTTTCATACCGCTTATCTGTCTTTACATTCTGAGTAAGGTTGAAACGTTTTAACTTAAATCAAGAGACAGCTGTTAGTTGGGCGCTGGTGTGTGTGTTGCATTGAACATTACGTCACGGCAGTTGTGTGAGGCATCGCTATGACGACCAGCTACATTGAGGGGCAGCACAGTTCTAGAATTCATATCTACTCAAGACTATTTTAATAATCTTACATTTTTAACATACCGGACTTCTAATAATCTTTAATTGAGTCCATATTGTTTTTATTAAATGTTGCATTTACTTATGGCTACTTAACTACAGTACATTAAGCAGCCAGAGAGCTGAAATTCAATTAAATTCAGTTAATTTATAGCTTCTTAACAGTTCTGTCATTGCACTTTTGATGTAGAGCAGGTCCATTCTCTTTATACTGTTAATATTATTAACAGAGACCCAACAATTCCCACCGTGAGCAAGCACTTGGCAACAGAGGCCTTAAATAAATAACTAAAAATAATAAAAATAATTTAAAAAACAATTAATATCATTGATATCCTAAAATGATAACTTTATCAAAACTTGGGTCTTGTTTTGGTAAACTCCCAGCATGCAGCAGTACCTGTGAGGGGTGAAGGTACGGCTCAGGGGAGGCCAGGTTGGTCTGGACAGAGAGGCTTTTCTCCAGCAGGGCCTGGGGGAAGCCCAGCCGATCGAAGGTGCTGCGTTTCCAGTGGTGGCCGTCGCTCTGCGCCAGTGCCTCGTCCTCACTGAACGCCCTCACGACTGGTCCAGGCAACGGCAGAGGCACCGCCCCGTCGCTCTCATAGCCGTCTTTGGAGCCGCCGCCCTGGGTCGCCCCTCCCCCCTGTCCCGAGTCCCAACTGCTCCGCTGTTTCATCACCTGCTGCGCCTCCCATGCCAGCCTGGCCTGGGCTAGCATTGCCTCGGATGCTGTGCCTGTCAGCTCCCCCTCTAACCCCCCGCAGCGTGCCAGCTCCTGGGGGAGGGATGGCTTGCGGCTCTTGCGTTTGCGATTACCTCCGGGGGAGAAAGCCCCTGGACCGCCTGCAGAGGATGATGAAAGGGAGTGTGTCTGGCTGGACGTCCAGGATATGGAGTCTTCATAAAGCAACCTCTGGCCTCCCTCTCCACCCTCCCCACTGTAGTCCAGCAGTAGGCGGGGGTCCCTGATCAGAGACTGGCTGTGCTGCAGAGTATAAGACCCCCCATATGAGCCACCGTAGCCCCCTGTAGTGCCGTAACGCAGCAGACGGTCGGCGGTCTTGAAGCGAGGGCTGGAAGACGACTGCTCCACATATACCAGCTGCTTGACATACTCCTTCCCCACAGGACTGTACTCCAGACTCTGGGTCTTTTCAGGACACTTCTGCCTGGTCAGAACCAGCTGGCCGTAGGGCGACTGGCCCTGCTTGGGGGAATGATAGATGGGGGCTGAAGACTTGCGAGCGGGTGACTTGCTGTAGAATGAGGTGGAGTCAGACAGGTGCATGTCAGTGGGAGGCTCCTCGTAGATGGGAGGGGGCTGGTACTCTGATGGCGGCTCCTCATACAGTGGGGGTTCATAGGCATAGCGCGGCGAGGGAGGCTGGGAGTCAGCCGAGGAGCGGCGGTGGGTGCAGGTTCCACCCAGCTCTGCCCGCTTCAGGAAGGGAGACTGACGGCGGTCGGCATAGAGAACGGGGGAGCCGTCGGGTTCTGAAGGTGGGTTTCCTCCAGAGGAACGGCGGGTACGTGAGGTGGTGCCCCCTCCAGAAGGAGCACCAGGGGTGGGTGGGTCGCAGGGGGAGTAGCCATTTCCCTGGTGGGCCAGGAAGCTGGGCTCTCTGTCTGTCACCTTGATCAGCATTCGCTCCTTCGTACCAGTGTTCCACCTGAAGGGAGAAGTCCTGAGAGGAGAGGAGAGCAGAGAAGATTTCATTAGAGGTGAAGGGGCAGGGGATAAAGAGCTGCCTGTCACATTCACACTACAGGCCTGGCAATGCTTTAAAGAAGTAATGTTTCTAAGGCCCAGTGTGCTTCATATTTCCTACATGCTCCTGTTACCACCTCATATCTTGGTCACTGTAATGATAATCAACATGGCCTCAGCTTGTAGCCAGAATGTCAGGTTATGTTTAAGAACAGTAATCTGGCTTTTAGAATGCATTTAAATTTGGTTTATGGAGTGTGAAAGTAGGTGGGGTTTGAACCTTTTTCATTCTGAAACTTCTCCAGTCACTGTTTGTGTGTCTCCTCCACACTGGACCTACACTACCATAAGGAAAAGGATTTTCCATGTGAAATATAAACTTTATTCTCAAATGAAAAGCTATCGTACAACTTAGAGGACAGGGGCCGTATTACAGGAAGTTCCTATCTCAAGTCTTAAGTTCAGACAGGAAGAGTCTAAGATAGGATTTTTCCCAATTTGGTGTTACAGAAGCAAATCCTAACTAACTTTAGGAATCCTGTCTTATCTCAGGTTAGGAAATCCTAAATACTCAATCCAACATCGCTTATCAACTTTTATGTCTGTTACCTAGCAACCGATTCCACTTTTCTCATCTCGCCGAGCTAAACGGCTTTTTAATCGCTGTTTTTTGGCCGTTTTTTAAATCAAACATACACTGAAATGGAGCAGAAACAACAACTATCATTGGACTTCATGTCAGATGACTTAGAGGTGTTTGTAACCTCCATCGAGAAATCTAAATCCACATAACGCTTAGCTGGGGAGATTAAAGACAGAGAGAGGGCTAAAATAGTGGACAATATCTGGCATCCAGCGGAGCGCTGATGCTGTCAAAAAGAAATTTACAGTGATATGATGACACAGGCCACTGTAGTGTCCAAAGAGCAGATGAAACCGCTGGTGGCTCCTCCTGTGCTCCCTCACTGATCCCGGCAGAAACCCGTAGGCTTCTCTTCTCGGGAAAGTAAATCATAATAATAAAGGCTGCGGGCTAACGTCATCATGTTTTTCATGTATTTCTTGAATTTAACGATCTCCTCCTATCAAAGACTTGCATTAGGATCCTTTTGTTACATCAAGCCTTCACATTAGGCTATGTTATATAATGAGACATTATCTAGCGTTACATCGCGACATACTTTTGTCATCAAACACATCGATAGAAACAATTAAGTTCCGCCTGTTGACATTTTGTTGATAGTGTAAAAGCAATAAAAGAGCAACCATGTGGATTAAACGAGTTAGCAAACACTACCTGGTGGAAAAGTCAAAGTTAGGACAGCTTAACAGTTCTCCTAAAGTTAGGAGAGTTTATTTAAGATTTTACTTTTCTTATCTAAAGTTAGGAAAGGAATATTGACTTAGGAACTGTTAATCTGTAATGGCCTTTTTCCTATATCAGTTCCTAACCCTTATTACCATGGTTACCAAGCAGTTAGGGTAGGATCTGCCGGTTAGGAAGTTTCTGTAATTCGGCCCCTGGACTACATTTTAAATTAAATTCTGAAAATGGTGTTTATCATGATCAATTTCATTTTATTTTCACTTTGGCTGGAATAACATATTTTCGAATATGACAATAATAACTGAATTTGAACATTTTTATTTTGTCATTGCACAGAAAGATGGTTTTCATCTTCCAAAGGAGGCATTGACAGATGATTTTGAGGACAACTGCCTGAATAATTCAATTTCACTAAAAACTAATGAATTCTAGTCTTTTTATGTATTTTTTATCCATGTTTGTTCACTTGAAGAAGCAGAAGAATTGCAGGAGGTTTTAGTGACGCCTACTTTTTAATGCAGGGACACTGCCACAGCTAACGTCTGGAAACAACAGACCTTTACTTCATCAGTTCACATCCACTCAGTGAGCGGGTTTGTCAGACAACAGGAAGGAGGAGGAGGGATGAAGAACAACAAGTGAACTGAGCAAGAAGGAGGAAAGTGTGACATCGATTGCAGCACCCTCTGTTTCCAAATACTTCCACACACTGATCCCGGGGCCAGTGCTCAATGGTGGCAGTGTTTGTGTCCTTCTGGATGTTAATATGCATGTGTGTGTGTGAGAGGGGGAAATAAAGGGGGCAGGATTAAGCGTTACAGGGTTGTTCTGGCATCTATCGCGACATGCTCCAGACTCTTAGCTCTAACCCACTTTCTTTCTCTTTCTTCCTCAGTCCATCCACCTCTTTGCTCTAAAGCTTCTTTCTGTGTCTATCCATTCCTCTTCTGACAACCTTTTCTCTCTCACCTAGTTCTACCTACACAGTGATCATTGTTCTTTCTCTCCACATCCGTAAATTATTAACCATCATTTGACCTTCAAAATCAATTTGCACATTCCCTGCCGTCTCCATCTGTTTCCGTCACTGCAGCGTCAGCCTGCAGATCCTTTATCTCCATCTGATTTTTCTAACTACAAACTCATTTTGTTGCTCAGTCAGCTGCCAGTGAAAAATCCCACTGTGGATCAGACAGTGGCCAGAAGTGTGGAAATGTTGACTGGGCCAGTATTAAATACGGTAGCCCAGAGGTCTCAGGCCAAATACAAAAGCCACAACACCAAATACTAAAGCCACAACACGAATACGGTAACATTTTATTTTAAGGTGCTTGTAATAAGCAGTAATTAAAAAATAATAAAACACTTATAAGACCTTAAAGATGCTTATAAACACAAATAAGTGTTAACTAAAGCAATTCAATTCAATTCAATTTTATTTATATAGCGCCAAATCACAACAAAAGTTATCTCACAGAGCTTTTCATAAAAGAGCAGGTCTAGACCGTACTCTATGATGCTATTTACAGAAGCCCAACAATTCCCACCAAGAGCAGCACTAGGCGACAGAGGCAAGGAAAAACTTCCTTTTAAGAGGCAGAAACCTCGAGCAGAACCATGGCTCAGGGTGGGCGGCCATCTGCCTCGACCAGTTGGGGTGAAGGAGAGAGAGAGAGAGCGAGAGAGAGAGGGAGAGGGCAGGAGAGGAACAGAGAGAAAAAGAGAGGGATGGAAGGAGAGGGAGAGGGGAGGGAGGCAGCCTACACAATATACACACAGAGGTACAGACAGTAAAGGTGATGTTGCTATAGACTAAATGAAAAATGGTACAGATATTTATAGTAGTGTTAATGGTAACAGTCGTAATGTTAATGATTATAATAACAATAATAACAATAGGACTAGTAACAATAGTTGTTGTAGCAGAGGGTGCCGAGCAGGAACACGGGGGCAGCAGGTGACCCGCAACCACAGATCCAAACTCCACAGCTCCAGAGCCAGAAACACCTGCAGGAAGTGATAGGAGGAGAGAGGAGAGGGACGAGAAAGCACAAGACTACAGGAAAGGGGAGAAGTTGTGTTAGTAACATGCAATAATGGGATGAGGTTACATACAGAGGGAGAGAAAGTAGAGGAGAGAGGAGCTCAGTGCATCATGGGAAGTCCCCCAGCAGTCTAGGCCTATAGCAGCATAACTAATGGATGGTTCAGGACTCACCTGAGCCAGCCCTAACTATAAGCTTTATCAAAGAGGAAAGTCTTAAGCCTACTCTTAAATGTGGAGATGGTGTCTGCCTCCTGAACCCAAACTAGAACCTGGTTCCACAGGAGAGGAGCTTGATAGCTGAACGCTCTGGCTCCTAGACTTTTGGAGACTCTAGGAACCACAAGTAACCCTGCATTCTGGGAGCGCAGTGCTCTGGTGGGGTAGTAAGGTACTATGAGCTCTTTAAGATAAGATGGTGCCTGACCATTAAGAGCTTTGTATGTGAGAAGAAGGATTTTAAATTCTATTCTGGATTTTACTAGAAGCCAATGCAGAGAAGCTAAAACAGGAGAAATGTGATCTCTTTTCCTGGTTCCCGTCAGAACACGTGCTGCAGCATTCTGGATCAGCTGAAGAGTCTTAATGGACTTTTTCGAGCAGCCTGATAATAAGGAATTGCAGTAATCCAGCCTAGAAGTAACAAATGCATGGACTAGTTTTTCTGCATCATTTCTAGACAGGATGTTCCTGATTTTCGCAATATTACGTAGGTGAAAAAGGCGGTCCTTGATATTTTCTTAATGTGAGACTTAAACGACATGTCCTGATCAAAGATAACTCCATTGACTCCTCACAGTGGTGCTGGAGGCCAGGGCGATGCCATGAAGGGAAACTATATCTTTAGATAATGCGTCACGGAGGTGCTTAGGCCCCAGAACAACAACCTCAGTTTTATCTGAGTTTAAGATTAGAAAATTACAGGTCATCCAGGTTTTAACATCCTGAAGGCACATTTGAAGTTTAGCTAACTGATGAGTTTCATCTGGCTTGATCGATAGATATTACTGAGTATCATCTGCATAACAATGAAAGCTTATGGAATATTTCCTGATAATATTGCCTAAAGGAAGCATATATAAAGTGAAGAGGATTGGTCTGAGGACAGATCCTTGAGGAACTCCATGACTAACTTTGGCATGCACGGAGGACTCATCGTTAACATGTACAAACTGAAATTGATCTGATAAATAGGACTTAAACCAGCTTAGAGCGGTTCCAGTGCTGTCTCTGTGCTATGATGAGCTCTAAATCCCGACTGAAAATCCTCAAATAAACTATTGCTCTGTAGAAAGTCACACAGCTGTTTAGCAACTGCTTTCTCCAGAACCTTAGAGAGAAATGGAAGGTTAGATATAGGTCTATAGTTGGCTAAAACATCCAGATCAAGTTTGGGCTTTTTCAGAAGAGGTTTAATTACAGCTACTTTAAAGTACTGTGGTACATAACCTGTTGATAAAGACAGATTGATCATATCTAGTATAGAGGTGCTGACTAAGGGTAAAACATCTTTAAGCAACCTAGTCGGGATGGGGTCCAAGAGGCAGGTTGATGGTTTAGATGAAGAAATTATTGAAGTTAGTTGATAAAGATTGAGGGAAGCAAA